GTAGGGAAAAACTAGAAATAAAAGTAAACATGAGAAAAAATCAGAAATAACTTTAGAGAACAACAAAATTACTTGCTCTAAATATCTAAAATAGGTGCTATGCCTGATACAATTTATTCAGATCTAGTCAAACAATTATAAACAGAAAAGTAAAATAAAAAAGGACATAGTCATGTAACGGTGGTAGTTCTAAATCTAGAATTTAAACCAACCAGTTAACCACTGGAAAAAGTTTAAAACTTGTGGTTTATTCCTTTTACTGTTCTGGAAACACCATTCCACTTTCCCTCCCTGTCAAAACCTGCATTTCATTACATTTGAAAAGAGCTCCCAGACGTTATTTCCAGACACTATTTTTTCTAGTCTCCACAGTTGTGAACATCACTACACTATCATCAGAAAATTTAAAAATTAACAAAATATTAGAATCTAGAGCAAATCTAAGCTATCATTAAATTAATCATTTATTAGCTGCCTTTCCTTATGCCACTATGGGAATACAAAAACAAAAAACGAAACCATCTCTGCTCTCAAGGAACTGGCTGGAAAGAGAACTACAAAACCTAAGCTCAAGAAAGGAAAGACTGCTGAATAAAAATTTCTACAATGATAATATAATTGTGGTGAAGGTGTGGTGCAGCCCTCCAATGTGTCTGTCTTATATTCCTTCTCAACCACTTTAAATTTATGTTTTCAGTAAAAACCAATAGATATCTGAGAAAAGATTACTTTAGTAATATTTTTCAATTTTTAGTTTTTAAATATTTTTAGTAATTTTTTAAAAAAACCTTAATAATCATTCTTATTTTTGCCTCTCCAGTTTTTGTGTGTATATGGGAATAGGTTATAACTCTTTATTGACTAGTTGTACTCTTCATATCTATCCACCCCAAACACCTTGAGAAACCTTGCCGTCTGATCCCTGCAACCACCCCAACCTGTAAGAAACTCTCTGCAGATTTGAGACCACAGCTCTCTGTTTGGATGAGGTAGCCCACCTGGCTCTGGAACTCCAACCTGTGGAAGAAAACTCATCAAACTAACTGAATATATCTAGCTGGCTCTAGATCATGCCCAGACATCTTGGGATACCTTGTCATCAACTGGCTGTACCCGAGCATCTGCCACCTCTTGGTCTGGTAACAGTAATCAAATCAGTAGTACCATTGCTTCTGGAACGAGTGTGACAATAAGCTTTCCTATGGCTCCACGTACCATTACTGTAATAAGACAAAAACTCCTTTATCTGGCTAGTTTTTTTCCCCTATTAAAATTTAAGGTAAGCCCCAGGATACCACAAATACCAAGCTGTACTGCTCTGCTACCAGCCTGGTGCAGAAGCCATCATCCTGGGTAGGGTTCCAACATCCCCACCAAAAAGAATGCCAACTGGAAGTTAACTGATGCCACCTCGGCAGACCAGCTAGCTTCTTAGATGTAGCAGCAAGGTGAAAATGAAGGGACAAATTCACTGTCATTACCTCCCCTCATACCCTGGTTAAGACAGTTCAAGACCCTTTACCCAAAAGGACAGAGCACCCCAGGTCAACAGCCCTTTGTAGGGCTTCTGCAGGCACCAAAGCTACCTCACCAGTTCAGCAGCCAGAACTGCTAAAGACCCAGAAAACAAAGTTCTCAAAACCAAAGTCCCCGGTTCCGTCAAATGGTTCAACATCAAAAATGGATATGGTTTTATCAATGGAAATGACACCAATAAAGACACATTACCATCTGCCTTGGCACAGCACCCTAAGGACCACTGTGTATTTCCATATGCCCTACGGTCAAACCCTGCGGTATACTGGTCTCTCCCTAATGAAATCATCAGCTCCTTTAAAAGCAGGGATTGTCTTACTTTTCTATTGGCATCTTTGTGATTAGTGTCTGCTTAAATGTTTAGTTATTCACTCATTTACAGAATGCAAGCTCCGTGGGGGCAGGAGGAAGAGTGATAGTGATCAGAAAAGGCTTTGTATAGAAAGAGGCCTTTGAAGAAAGTAAGAGATTGCCCTAAAACCTATTTTGGAAAATTAACTATGTTTACCTATTGTGAATTTAATTATGAAATTTTACCAGGACACCAAGACTAACATTGAAGTTAAAACTAAATTTCAGTGTTTTCTCCCACTATAAAATCATATTCCACAGTTTTAATAAATTGTAATTATAAAAACGATTACCTTTTATATAACTTAAGGGGTAAAACCTAGAGGGGCAAGAGATGCCATGTAAGGTAAAATAAGTTTCTAAAATTCTACTCTACCTAACTGGCTCCAATTTCTAAATGTTGACTTCTAAATTTATTCCTAAAGAGAAATCACAGAAAGGAATCATATTTTTATATTCAAGGGGAAAAGAACACATCAAAGGACTGGATATTCAATCTGCTCAAATTAGTGTTCTTGAATAATAAAATAAAGGCTATTTATTAAAATCAACAAATTGGGTGTTCATTATTTGAAACAATTCACAAACTTTAATTTAGAAAGAATCTTTGTGTTGTTTAGTCATGTCCAACTATTCATGACCCCATTCAGGATTTTCTTGGCAAAGATACTGGAGTGGTTTGCTATTTCCTTCTCCAGCTCATTTTTACAGATGAGGAGACTAAAGCAAACAGGGTTAAGTGACTTGCCCAGGGTCACACAGCTAGTGCCTGATCCCCAATTTGTTTGTTTCTTTGGTTTGGTTTTGGTTTGGTTTTCGTGAGGCAAATGGGGTTAAGTGACTCGCCTAGAGTCACACAGCTAGTAAGTGTCAAGTGTTTGGTCTGAGCGCAGATTTGAACTCAGGTCCTCCTGACTTCAGGGCCGGTGCTCTATCCACCGTGCCACCTAGCTGCTCCTTCAGATCCCCAGTTTGAATTCAGGAAGATGAGTCTTCCTGATTCCCAGCCAGACACGGTATCCACTGCATTACCCACCTGCCAGGAAGGAATCTTTAGAGACTATCTAATCCAATCTCCTTAATCTATCTAGGAAACCCCTTCTTCAACATTCTTGAAAAGAGATCTTCCAGACCTTATGGGAACAATTCCAATAAGTGGGACCTTATTATCCAATGAGGTAGCCCTGAACAAATAATTCCATTTTACTTGTACCCTCTGCACCTACATAAATCTAACCCCCGTTCTATGTGGTGACCCTTCACATATTTGAAGACAGCTATCTTGTCTCCCTTAGTTCCTCCCAAACATAAACATCTTTTATAAAAATTTAAAACAAAGATCTGCCTTCTCTCCCCACAATCTTACTCCAGGCAAGAAAAAAATTCCCTGTTACAAACATGTATAATCAAGAAAAACAAATTCTCACACTGGCCACACAAGATAAATAAATGTGTATGCATGCACATGCATATTTGTGTGTATGTGCATGTATGTATGTCTCAATCTGCACTCTGAGCCAGTCCATCAACTCTCTATCAAGAGGTGTATAGGGCAATCAGATGGTGCAGTGGATAGATCCCTGAAGTCAGGAGGACCTGAGTTCAAATTCAGCCTCACTAGCTGTGTGACCCTGGGCAAGTCACTTAACTCCAATTGCCAAAAACAAACAAACAACAACAACAACAACAACAACAAAAAAGAGGAGTACAGCCTGTTTCATCATGAGTCCTCTAGAATCATGGTTGGTCATTGTGTTGTTCTAATATTGTATCGCATAAATTGTTCTACTCACTTCACTCTATATAACTTCATACAAGTCTTCTTAACCACTCCTTGATTGTTTCTTACAGTACAATAGTACTCTATCATGTTAATATACCATAATTTATTTAGCCATTCCTCAAATGATATAGGCATTCCCTTGGTTTCCAATTTTATAAAAAGAACTGCTGGGGGCGGTGAGGTGACGCAGTGGATAGCACACCAGCCCTGGAGTCAGGTGGACCTGAGTTCAAATCCAACCTCAGACACTTACTAGCTGTGTGACCCTGGGCAAGTCACTTACCCCCACTGCCTAGCAAAAAAAAAAAAAAAAAGAACAACAACAAAAAAAGAATTGCTATAAATTTTTTTGTATATAGGTGTCCTTTTCCTCTTTCTTTGATATCTTTGGAATATAGATCTAGTAGCAATATAGCTAGGTTAAAGCAAAGTTTAATAGTTTTCAAAGAACAGTTAGTTCCAAATAGTTTTCAAGAAGGAGACCTGTTTCCAGCTTGAGAAGTACATTAATACAGCTGTTTTTCCACAGTCCCTCTAGCATTTGTCATTTACAACTCCAGTTTCTTCAGCAGAGCTTCGTATGATATGAATTTTTAGACTTTTTTCATCATGGCTGCCATCTACTACATACATTCCAGTATTGCAAATGTCCCTCTTAAAAAAAGTGATATTCACTGATATAAAAATAGAATATAGTGGGACTACCTGAATAGTAATCAATGTTGCTCTAAAAATATAGTATTTTTCTTTAACCAAATACTGGAGAACTTCTTTTACCATTTAAAATTTCAAATTTTCAAATAATTTCTGTTAAGTTGTGCATTTCCAAAAAAATATCTCCTATGGGATGCCATGGCTACTACCATCAGATAGAAAAATGCCTAGAGCTGCAGGCACATCTTATTTGTTAAAAGGATGATTAGCAAGTATAAAGAATATGCTGTACCTAATTGAGGCTCTTCCACAATACATCAGAAGTGAAAGAGTATTTTTAAAAGGATAGCTTTAGGGGAAAATGGAAAGCAAACTGAAATATTTTATATTATGATTGATATTCTTGAACTAAAAATCAATAGTTTCTAAAGTATCTCCAAAAACATTAAATTCTGGTTAATTTAATAGAAAGATGGGTTAACTCACTGTCAAGATTTTAATTTGTGGTTTTTATCTCCAAACTTGTCCTTAATTTGCTCAAGTTAAGACAAGATAAAAAAGAAGAAAAACAATATAAAGGTAAAACCTCATACGCAGATAGCTAGTAAGATACAAATAAGAATCTGAAAGGATACCATAGTTAATATCCTATTCGTTCCTTTCCACTCCCCTACAGGCTCTCCCATGGTTCCACCAGCCCCCAAGTATGGAGTAAGTACAATGTGTTTTAATATTTTACTGGGATATTTAAATAATTCAAATAAAACCAAGATTTTCTAGGTAACTCTGACAAGAATACAAAGTATACTTCTGAGAGGTATTCTTCTGATATCTCCAAAATAATTATCACCTTCTAGTCCTGCGGAATATATAAGACTATCTAAGGCATGAGATAAAATAGATGTAAACACACTGCGTTGTGTTTTCAAGACGTCTGGCACACCAAATGTTGGCAGTACCAAAATGTGTTATATGGCTACAATAATAATGACTTTTTTTACAGTGAACATAAACAGTTTTAAAGTACTATATTTCTCACTCTTACACTTTCCAAGTTATTAAAAAATATTCCAATAGCTCCAAAAGTCTGGGAGAAAAGTAGCAATAAAAAAAGTTATTTAACAGAGCAAAATGCAAAGGAAAAGATACGATTTGATGTTTTAAACTTTCCTAGTTAACTACATTTCTAGTAAACTAGATGGCTTCTATATATCGTAGTTTAACCTTAAGAGAGGCAGGGGAGGGAAGCAAGATGGGAGGAGGAAGAAGGGTGGATTAATCTTCTGAAATGCAATTACTATTCTGAAAGCTAAATATTATAAGTATCAAAATCTTTTATTAAAAAAAAATAAGAATTTCAAGGTATGGTTGTCACTTTATTTTTCAGCATTATTAAAGCTTATGGAATCTAAAATGGAATTTACTATATGTTAAAGAGCAGTTAAGAACTTGATGTTATCTGGCAAGTTTAAGGAATGGGACAGAATAATTGCTCCAACTGCTTAATGGATAACTAATATGAATTATCAACTTCCAAAGAATTAGAATAAAATATATTTCACACCAAAATTGTATTTTAGTCATCAGGAGAATGGCAATGCCTTATCAAGAGATATAAAAGGGAGAGAAAGATGGAGAAAGGAAGGAAGGAGGAAACTATCAAATTTGTGAGAACAATTGCTAATACACTGGGTAACAGAATCAGGAGTCAATATGTTCTCAAAAAGGGTAACAATGGACCAAAACCAACTAGATGAAATATTATAGAAATAAATGCAAAGAATTATATTTAGATTGGGAAACTCAATGACAGAATTCTTAGGCTAGGAGGGCTACCTCATTTGAAAACAATGAGAAAAAGACTTGATTTCAGTTGACCACAAATCTAATATAAGCCAAGCTATTAATATAAACTTGTGCTGTATTAATAAATCAAATCAACAAATTGTTCCTTCTCCAGTCAAGACTGTATGTCTGTATGAATAGTGTACTGATCAAGGGAGATAATAGTTTCACAGTACTGAGTCAAAGGAACTGTGGAATACTGTGTTCTATTCAAGGTGCCCCATTTTAACAGGAAAATTTACAAACTAGAGCATATCCAGAAGGGATGTTATCAGGATGATGACTATTTGGAAACCATGTTATTAGGAAGGGGTGAAGGACCTTCAGATGTTAACCTAGAAGAAAAATCTAAAGAAAAACATAATATCTCTATTCAAAAATATTTTTAGGCTGTCGTGTAGTTGAGAGTCTGTATAGCTCCAGAGGTCAGAACCAAACAATGAGAGTTACAGGAAAGTATATTTTGGCTCAATACAAGAAAATTTTCTAATAACCAAAGCTGTGCAACAATGGACAACCTACGAAGGAGTGAGCTCTCTTCAATTTTATGCAGATTAGCTTTAAGTTCTTTTCCAATACATGGAAGGAAGATACTAGTTTAGAGAAATCCTCATTTAATAGCAGGTTAGCTAAGTCAGCTTTATCACACTAACAAAATAATCAGTTGAACCAAAGTATTCATATTTTACAAACAAATTGACCTATCACTGTCAAGAAAGTCCAATCTCAAATGTTTATTTCATCTAACGTCAAATAAATCAAAGAAAGATTATAATTCCTTGTCCAACGAATTACTTCATCCAAATTAACTCGTGTAATCATATGTATATTTTCTTTTGGACTGACATATTTTAAACAATATACCTTTCCATGGCTTTAGCAGTATAAGGCAAATGCATTTCAATACTGTGTTCATCTTCATCTGTCTGTAGAGACATGCGCTCAAACATTCCTGTTTTCCATAGCTCTCCATAAACTGAAAAAATTTCAAAATACATTAAAAACAAACACATTAGCATGTACCCTCATTGGAAGTAAGGAACAAGACACAAAACCACTTGCATGGGATGGGTGTAAATGTGGGAGAATGGCTTTGATCACACAGCACTCTCTTTAATCTTCTCATGTAAATGTAGGCAACATTTTGCAAGGCAAAAAGACATATTTACGTTATACAAAGACTAAGGTGTAGTTGCTTATGCTCCTTAAAGAGGGCTTGGATAAGCAGTTAAAAAAATCTTCAATTGTAAAACAGCTACATTCATATTATATAAAGTCACCTTTGTGTCTAGGGCTTTTAAGTTTAGTTAGCATGGCCTGGCAACACAGCTGATAAAATGAGCTACTGTTGAAACATGGAAAAACACTGGTCTACCTACTCACCAGGTTAATGACAGACAAGGAATTTACAGGACTTTCAGTCTCACTCCCTCCAGCGTGTTAGGAACAGACATGTTGGCAACACACCAAAAGATGGAAACTCTCCAGTATATAAGCAGAGTACTCTCTCAGAACTTCAAAATGAAGTTCATGGAAGATCAGAACATCAATTTAGTGAAGCATCACACCAGCTTAAAAGGTCTCATAATCAAAGGCAAGTCACACAATATTAAGTAACACTGCTGTTAAAAGTGTCAGGGTTTTGTTGTGTTTTGGTTTTTTTTTTTTACCAAAGGAAGAAATGGTATTTAACTCTTAAAACCCTTGAGTTTAACACTTTTATTCTACATAAAACAAACACCCACACCCACACACACAAAACCAACAACACTCCACCATTATTAGAGATACTCTGCTAAAAAGAATTTACAAACATTATAAAAGACAAATAGTGGAGTGACCATTTCTCTCAAAACTGCTTGTTTAAAAACATCTTCCTACAGGTACACTATCTAAAACCAAGAATATTTTAATGCTATAATATTTTCAAAATAATGTGTGTTCTCTAGAAAACAACCAAAATAGAAGACATAGTAATAATAAAGCTCTATTCTAAAAACAAAATGCTATTACTGCAAAAATGTAAGTGTATCTTCATTACAAGCAAACCTAATCTACAGAAATCAACCATTAACCCTTGCCCTGACAAAGAAAAAAAAAGAAATGATTAAAGAGTTTCTTTGCTTTATAAAATGATTCACCACAAGGTTAGTAAATGCCAAGGTTCCCTATTTCATTTGAAAGACAATTTTATTTCCAAAACATGTTTAATGTTTCTATTGTATAATGTCAGGTATGTCTACACAGAAATTATTTTTATTCCTATTTTAATTTTTAAAAATCTTAAGCAGAGACAAAAATAATATGCAGGGTAGATTTGCATGACAGTTCTCTTTAAAGGAGTACAAAGGACAATTTTTTACAACTATGATATCATTTTGTAACTAAGAAATTGGGGATTAGAAATGTTGATTGTGTTGCCCTGAATTATACACAGTGACAACTCTTGACCCCCAGTGTTATGTTTTTTTGCTAAAACACGCTTATCTCTCTTTTTAAAAAATTCTGGGAGAAAACTGACAGGCCTGTTTGTCTGATAGGTTTCTTTGGCAAGAAAATTTTTGTTTGTTAGTATCAATGAATTTCAATTAAAAAAAAAATCCAGATCCTTTTATTTAAGATGCTAAAATAACCTACCACTAAAATGAAAGCTATGTAACAAACTGCAAGCTTACTACATACTTACTCTTTTGATCAATACGAAGGTCATACAGAGGTGTTCTATATATATCCACACTGGAAAGTGCACATCGAGATAGGGGCACATGATGGGAAGGCCCAAGGATGAATATTCTCCGGCTAGGGCAATTTAAACAAAAAACAAACACAGGAAAATTGAACTTCTACAAAAACACGCTCCAATAAAAAGAGAAATCTGAAAAAACAGTGATAAAAATTATATGCATTATTGCTTTTTTTTTCTATTTGGTTTCATTATCTAGTGAGAATCTCTCCTGCCATACAGGTACAATTACAAATCTCTCCCTTATATAGGATGGGATACGCAAAAGGATCACCATTCGTCCCGGGGGGGGGGGGGGGCGGAAATCAAGTGGTCAACAAAGCTAATCTACTCAAAATGGGAAAAAGTAACTAAAGCTCTATTCAAATTTCTGCTCTAAAGTAGTGGTGGTCACCATAAATAAAAGAAGTGAAAGATTCTTTGAAATCGACCCAAGAGGAAATCACCTTGTATTCCTCTTGCAAAATTTAAAAGAACTTGCCATTTTAAATATGTAGTAAATGAATATTGCTAAAGGAAATCTAAACCCACTACCTAATTTTCCACATCAATCAACAAGAAAGTACTATGGATACAAATAAAATATGTGAAAGAATCCCTAATGATGTATTATAAGTCCACATAAAATAAATCACCTTTAGCTAAAATTTTATGAGAAAATAGTACTTCTAAAGTAATAAACATCTTCCCTTTTACACAAAATATGACTACAAAAGATTCAGTCAGGCAGTTAAAATTACATAAAAGCAATACTAAACTCTACCCTCTCTATTTCCAGTCCAAGTAAAAGACATTCTCAAAAACAAAAACAAAAAAAAAGATACTCAAAAAAAAAACCTGACTACACATTTTTTTTGATAGAGTCTAAGAGATACAATTGCTTTTGCCTCTCAATGAATGATAATTTCTTCACCAGTGGAAAAAAAAACTAGATTCCCAAATGATGTGTCAAAAATTAAGCACAGACACAAGAGCGCCACATAACACAAAGATCAAAGATAATACAGCATGGCATAGAATATGATCTTTCTCACTGTTTTCTTATATTTACTACTTTTGTTAACTGATGAAAATTGGACTAGTTTTATTTCATCATCAGGATCTGTTGACTAAGGATTCTTCCACCCCTTCCTCCACCTCTTACCCCACCCTCCAGCAACACAATCATTTCAAAAAAACTGCACTGAAACTCAACAATTTGGAGGGCTAGAACAACTGCTATAAGGATTTCATTGTTGTTATTCAGTCATTCAGTAATGTCTAACTCTTCATGACCCCACGGACCACAACACGACAGGCTCTTCCATCCTCCACTATCTCTTGAAGTTTGTCCAAGTTCATGTTCGTTGTTTCCATGATTCTATCTATCTACCTCATCCCTCTGCCATCCCTTTTCCTTTCGTCTTCAATCCTTCCCAACATAAAGTCTCTTTCAACGAGTCCCATCTTGTTCTTACATGGACAAAGTATTTCAGTTTTAGCTTCAATATCTGACCTTCCAGTGAAGAGTCTAAATTAATTTCTTTAAGTATTGACTGATTTGATCTACTTGCTATCCAAAGGACTCTCAAAAGTCTTCTCCACAATTCAAAAATGTTGATTCTGCAGCACTCAGCTTTTCTTACAATCCACTTTTACAGCCATACATTGGTACTGGAAAAACCGGAGATTTGACCATGTGGACCTTTGTCAGCAAAGTGACGTTTCTGCTCTTTAGTATGCTGTCCAGATTTGCCATTGCTTTCATTCCAAGAAGGAAGTGCCTTTTAATTTCATGGCTACAGTTGCCTTCTGCAGTGATCTTTAAGCCCAAGAATAAAAAATCTGACACAGTTTCAATTTCTTTTCCCTCTATTTGCCAGGAAGCGATGGGCCCATTTGCCAAAATGGTTTGATGTTAAGCATCAAGCCAGCTTTTACACTCTCCTCTTTCACCTTCACCAAGAGGTTTCTTAATTCTTCTCCACTTTCTGCCATTAGAGTGGTATCATCTGCATATCTGACATTGTTGATATTTCTCCCGGCATCCTTAATTCCAGCTTTTGATTCATCCAGCCTCGAATTTCACATGATGTATTCTGCATATAAGTTAAATAAATAAGGTGACAATATACAGCCTTATTATACTCCTTTTCCAATCTTAAACCAATCAGTTGTTCCATGTTTGGTTCTAACTGTGGCTTCTTGGCCTGCATACACATTGATTTGGGTAATTAAGGGGTTAAACTAGTGATCTAAATAGGCATACACAACAATCCACTTATATCTAAGACATAAAGACTGACATGCACCAGGAGACTTAGTAACTCTTCTATTTTCTTCCCTTAACTTTTGCTTCCTAGGCAAAGTGGTTAGCACATTCTAAGTGATCATAAGTGCTTATAGTCATAAGCGCTTATAGGGGAAACGGGAAGGACCAGAGAAGGGAAGAAGAAAATGATGATACTGAAGAATTACAGCTTGTACCAAGAAATAAAGGTCAATAGCACTTGGTACCTTAGTCCCTAAAACTTAACAAAATTTTTAACTATATCCAGTGTCCATATCTTTCAACTTCCCCAAATATAATGTTAATCAAGAGTTTTGTATATCCCAAGCAAATTCATTTTTACTATCTAGTCAATTAAAACTACTGGAGTATTAAGATATTCATTAAAAACCAAGCATACAGAAATAGTACTTGTTGATGTTCAATTGTTTCAACTGTGCCTCATTCTTCAGGGACCCATTTGGGGTTCTCCTGACAAAGATACTGGAGTGGTTTGCCATTTCCTTCTCTAGCTCATTTTACAGAAAAGGAAACTGAGGCAAACAGGATTAAGTGATTTGCCCAGGGTCACACAGTAAGTATCTAAGGCCAGATTTGAACTCAGGAAGATGAGTCTTCCCGACTTCAGGTCCAGCACTTTATCCACTGTATTACCTAGCTGCAACAGTAAGCAGCTAACTCATAAATGCCTCTCAACTCTTAGAAATGATAATATTTGTTCTACAAGTCAGTTTTCTACAACATGAAAAGAATTACTGCACATGTGGTTAGCAGTTAATGTGACCAACTCTTTTTTATTTTTTTAATTTATTGGATGATGAAAGAAGTCACTAAACCATTAAGGAAAGCATAACAGAACTCATCAACTAAATCCTTAATAGAAGGAAAAGGAAAAAAATGCATGTAAATAAGGTAATGAATGGGTTTACAGTGGTATCTTCAAATACTTATGACAAACAGAAATAATGTGATAGGGGAGGGTGTAGGAATGATTTGCTAGCTAGACTACAAGCAATGTTTCATTCTTTGTGAAACTGACTCTTTTTCATTAGTTAATTTAAAAAGAGTTTTCTTGTATGAATGCCATCATCTGGAGGAAATTTTGTGTTTTTTTCCCATAAGGAATTTTTATTATAAATGTAATAATTACATACAAAAAAGGAATAAATTCTTACATAAACTTTCAGCACTTAAGGTAGAACCAAACAAATTCCATCAATCAATAAGCACTTACGAAGCATCTAGTATGTGCTAGACACTGAGGGTACAAATACAAACAATAAAACAATCTATCCAGGAGTGGAAACCTTCAGGCCTTCAGGCTACTTGTGGCACTCTAGGTCCTCAAGGTTCCCCACCCATTATACTTTCAAGGTGCAGCTAACATAAAAGAAACAACAAAATGATTTTGCTCAGTTTCCGTTCAGAGACAGCTGGTGGTGCAGTAGATAGAGCTGGGCCTGGAGCCAGGAAGACCTGAGTTCAAACCCAGCCCTACCTACTTAATAGCTATGTGACCCTGGGCAAGTAATTTAACCTGTTCGCCTCAGTTTCCTCAATTGTAAAATGGCGATAACAGCACCTACTTTCCAGGGCTCTTGTGAGGATCAAATGAGATAATATTTGTTAAAAATACTTAGCATCACGGCAGCTAGGTGGCACAGTGGATAGAGTACCGGCCCTCAAGTCAGGAAGACCTGAGTTCAAATTCGGCCTCAGACCAAACACTTACTAGCTGTGTGACCTTGGTCAAGTCACAACTCCAACTGCCTAAAAAAATAAAAGAAAAAAGAAAAAAAATTGGGGGGGGGCAGCTAGGTGGTGCAGTGGCTAAAGCTCAGACCTTGGAGTCAGGAGGACCTGAGTTCAAATCCAGCCTCAGACACTTGACACTTACTAGCCGTGTGACCTTGGGCAAATCACTTAACCCCGACTGCCTCACCCCCCCCAAAAAAAAATCACTTAGCATCTCTTAGGTACTACATAAATGCCTATTCCCTTTCCCTTCCAGGTAGCTTAGTTTCTGTTACCTCTAGATTTATTTATTTTTTAAGTGTAGTTGCAGTCAATGTACATATAGTTCTGGTTTTGCTGATCTCATCACATCACTTTGTACAGATATTTCTATATTTCCTGGCATGCTGCACATTTCATGACTTTGCATAGATATTCTTCTATTTCCTGGTATGCTTCACATTTATAGTTTTTTGCACTACCATAATAAACCATTATATTAGTATCATAATTTATTCAGCCACTTGTTGGATATATTTTTTTTCTAAATTCTTGTGACTACAGAAATGTGACTATTTTGTACAATTAAGTCCTTCTTTCTGTTTTTGATGCTTTTGGGACAAAATTGGAATAGCTGGGTAAGAATGTGTTATTAGTTTTAGGACTTCATGAATTTTGTTCTCTAAAATGTATGTTTCTACCAGGCTATCAACATATTAGCATGCCTACTTCCCCATAGCTCCACCAACCCTCATTTTGATCACTTTTTGCCTTTTTTTTTCATTCAAATGAGTAGAATATGGTTTCTTAAGCTTTTCTTAACTTCAATTTCTCTATTAAAGATTTGTATATCTTTTCATGTTTGTGTTTCTTCATTCACAAATAGTCTACCTATCCCTTTGGCCATTTTCCCAACAGGCACAGTGAAATGTCAGTTCTACAGATATGTATGATGTCCTTACAAATTTTAAATGTAATACCTGTATCTAAGAGGAAATTTTCAAAGTGTTGCTATATGCAAAAAAAAATTTTTTTAAGCTTCAGGAATCATTTACTTATAAGGCTTATTAATCTGAGAATATTGCCTCTAAAGAATATACATTCATGCATATACATAAATACAGTATGTGAATATTATTTATATAGAGAACTATCATTCTGCTAAGTTACCTCAATTTCCCCCCCTTAAATACTCTAATATTTATCTTACTCATGGAAAACAGTCAGTTGTTTTTTTTAAGTCTTGTGGGAAAAGCTGAAGAAACGGTAAAGAATAAAATATCTTCCTTGCCTAAAGGAGATTCCTTATTTTTCTAAATGCTTTTTGAAAAAGAATGAATCAAAATTATACTTATATCTTAATGCTCTCCCTATCTACCTGAAATCTGGAACTTTTTATCTAATAAATGCACTGAAATAGCAGTAGGACCTACCAATCTACAAACATGAAAAGTCAACTTTCCAAGATAACACAAATGATCATGTGAGTCATTAAAAAACAATTTTTAAATCAAAACAATTTTTTTCTCAAAGGGAAAAACACGTACATGTGTGTGTGTGTGTGTGTGTGTGTGTGTGTGTGTGTGTGTGTGTAGAATTTCACTCCTAGATTAAGACAAGATCAACAACTTTTCATAAATCTGTTCATAAAATTATGATCCTTAAAGGGTGACTATTAAATAAAAAACTATTTGCTATCACAAAAACAAAGGTCTATTTTGTTGGTTCAAGTCCTACATAAGATTTTCCATCAAGATTAAGCTCAATAAACAGGCAAATATTAATGTACTGTATGTGTAGATGGCAACACTTCTGAGTCTTAAGACATTATAGTCATGAGTTATGGATGAAAAAAAAAATCAGCACCTGATAACCAATCTGCTAGTCATGAATCCTTCCCAATTTAGTTAAGCTAGGTCACACATGTGGCTTTTTTAATTTAATAGGACCACTGTTTTCCAATAGCACAACCTTCAATAACCTCAAGTTATCTTAATAGCATGAGAGGACAATGGAATAAAGCTTCTGTCATTTTATCCATATGTATATTTGTATATGCGTACACTTTAAAATTTTCTGAATTCTCAATATGCTTATTTTCTTATAGTCTTCTGTTACTAGATATAATATTTCTAATACATTCTGCATTTACTAAATCATTCCTTCCCTCCCTCTAGCGCTTTACACTTTTAACAGCTGATTCTATTTAACATCTTTGTTCTTTTCATCTCTTTTCCTATGCCTATGTTCATTACCTTCACTTCCAATTTTACTTTGTATCTTAGGTTTTCATTATTATCTCTACTCTCATCTTCTTGGTCAATTTTTTAAAAATATGAATTTATTTATTTTTAGTTTTCAATATTTACTTCCACAAGGTTCTGAGTTCCAAATTTTCACCCCATCTCACCCCTCCCCCCACCCCAAGATGGCATGCATTCTGAATATCCCTTCCCCTAGTCTGTCCTCTCTTCTATCTCCCCCCTTCTCTTATCCCCTTCCCCTTCTATTTTCCTGTAGGGCAGGATAGACTTCTGTACCCCATTTCCTGTATTTCTTATTTCCCAGTAGCATGTGAAAACATTTTTTTAAACATGTTTTTAAAACTTTAGGTTTCAAATTTTCTCCCTTCCTCCCTCCCCACCCACCCTCATTGAAAAGGCAAGCAACTCAATATAGGTTATACATGTGCAGTTATGCAAAACACTTCCATAGTAGACATGTTGTGAAAAACTAACTCTATTTCCCTTAATCCTATCCTGCCCTCCCATTTATTCTATTCTTTCTTTTGACCCTGTCCCTCCTCAGAAGTATTTGCTTCTGATTACCCCCTTTCCCAATCTGCCCTCCTCTCTATCATCCCCCTGCTCTCTTGTCCCCTTCTCCCCCTATTTTCCTGTAGGGTAAGACAGATTTCCATACCCAATTGAATGAGTATGTTATTCCCTCCATAAGCCAAATCCTATGAGAATAAGATTCACTCATTCCCTCTCACCTTCCCCCATTATCCCTCCACTGTAAGAGACTTTTCTTTTCCGGGTTTTTTTTTTTTTGGTGAGATAATTTAACCCATTCTACCTCTCCCTTTCTTCTTCTGAGTATAATCCTTTCTCATCCCTTAATTTTATTCTCCAGATATGACCCCTTAATCTTCAACTCATCCCTGTGCCCTCTATCTATATATACATACATATAATTTTTTTCCTCCAACTACCCTAATACTGACAAAGGTCTCATGAGTTATAAATATCATCTTTCCATGCAGGAATGTAAGTAGTTCAACCTTAATAAGTCTCTTATAATTTCTCTTTCCCGTTTACCTCTTCAGGTTCCACTTGAGTCTTGTATTTGAAAGTCATATTTTCTATTCAGCTCTGGTCTTTTCACCAAGAATGCTTGAAAGTCCTTTATTTCACTGAATGAAACAAGGGATTGGCCAGGGGTGGGGGGGGGGGGGCCGCAATTGGGGTTAAGTGCTTGCCCAGGGTCACAAAGCTACTAAATGTCAAGTGTTTGGTCTGAGGCTGGATTTGAACCCAGGTCCTCCTGACTTCAGGGCTGGTGTTCTATTCACTGCACCACTTAGCTGCCCCCTCTTGGTCAATTTTTTATTTCCAATATTGCTTTCTAAAAGTTACCCATTACCACATACCCTGAAGACAAGGAGACCAAGTCAGCCAGGGTTGGATTACATTCAATTCAATAAATATTTACTGAGCATCTAATATTTGCAAGGTAGGTAAACAACAGAGGACACAAAGATGATTAGGATACAATTCATTCCTTAAGAGGAACATGACATAAGAGCAGGGCCTCATCTCTACAATCACCTCACTTCCCACCTCTTTAGTTTTTCCTTTACTTTTTCTTTTCATATATTACTGCTCCTACCAACATTCCACTGCTAAGAGACAATGAGTAAGAAATCTTTTTTCTTATAAGGACACGTTCTCAAACTTTTTTTCTGCCTTCTCTGCCTACTCTTTAGATTCTCTTTGAATCTCTTTACTCCCAATTAATATTGTCCCCTCCCTTATCCTTACATCAAATGTTGTACAAGGAGATCTCTCTACACTCCCCAAAGGCCATTCTTTGCATTCTAAAATTCAGACACTCACAGGTGTGTAACATAATGTAAAAGGTTGGGAAGCAATGTTCTAATCAATATCTTAACTACAATTATATACAGTACATATTAAAAGCATAATTTGAACACCAGGTCTTACTGATCCCTATCCACGACATCATATTAGTTAATAATAACAATAACAATGACAACAATTGCATTTATATAGTGCTTTAAGGCTTGCAAAGTACTTTACAAATATTACCACATTTGATCCTCACAACAAACCTGGGACATAGATATTATTATTAAGTCCATTTTTACAAATAAGGAAACTGAAGTAGGCAGAGGGTTAACTGACTTGCCTAAGGTCACAGAGTAAATATCTGGGGTCATATCTGAACTCAGGTCTTCCCGACTCCAGGCCTAGCCCTCTATTCACTATACCACCTACCTGCTCTATAAGCTTTCATACATACTGGGATTTTAGAGTTGTCATCCATCCATCACAAGCCATACACCCCACCCTACTCTAGCCCCATTTCTTCTTAGAATCCTTAAATTCCTTCAATGGTTCAGTTCAAGTGCTGCCTCCTCTGTGAAGCCTTCACCCATCAGTCCAACTGTTTGAGCTCGTTCTAAGCTTAAATTACACTTGGGGATTAGAACAACAACATGTAATTGTGTATGTGTTGTGTCCTCCCAATAGCACATTAGCTTCTCGAAGGTAGCCTCTGTTAGTTTTTGTCTTTGTATCACCAGCACTCAACATTGTGTTTTTCTATTTCTAGGTTTATCAGAAAAACATGAAGTTAAAATGACTTCTCCCCTGGCAACCCTATAACATGTATTTGAGAATTTACTTTAAATTGTAAATAAAATAAAAGGGAAGTATGAGGAATTCTGGGAAAGAATTCATAAAAACATTAGTAAGGATATTATCCATTCCTGAAGTCAAATAATCAAAAAACTCAAAAGCAATTTGCTGTAACACAGCAATTATTTTTCATCTCCCAAACTTCTCCCAATTAAAAAAGAAAAAGAAAACACCCAATCGTATTACTTACGTAATAGATGGATCCACTTGTTTGTAAGCATGAGCAGCACAAGACCCACAGTAAGTATATCCTGCATGGCTACAAAACAAAATAATTTCAAAAACTTAATCATCTGTGTCAAAATCAAGATATAAGAATATATTAGAGGAAAAGCAACAACTAAATGAATGATCAACATAACAAGATTTGAAATAAGTATCAAGAAACAATGCAGCAATAGTAGAATTAAGCATGGTAGAAGGCCAGTACACAGGCACTGGGAAAGGAAATGAAGTCCCACACGACGAACATAAAGGGGGAAGGGAAAGAGAATAACCTGTCCCCCCGAGACACACACACACACACACACACACACACACACACACACACACACACACACAATCTCATTTGATCCTTACAACTCTGCAAAGGAGGTACTATTATTATCCCTATTTTACAGCTGAGGAAAGTGAGCCAAACAGAGTTTAAGTGACTTTTCCCAGGTTAGTAAGTGTCTTGAGTTCAGATCTGCACTCGAATTTTCCTGACTCCAGGCCACATCTCTACCCACTGTGCCCACCAGTATGGAGTGCAGGACAAAGAGTAATGCATTAGTGAGGGTAAAAAATGAGTATGGGTCAAAAGGCATTCATTATTAACTTTTCGTGTATAATTACAGATGGTTTTTCTAGAATGGTTTATACCCATTTATAAGTCAGCCAACAGTACATCAGTGTGCCTGTTTCCCACATTTATCATCTTCCTTTTTTGTCACCTTTGCAATTCTACTGGTTGTGAGAATGGAATCTCAGAGTTGCTTTAATTTGTATTTCTGTGAGTAGTGATTCTGAAAACTTTTCCATATGACTATAAATGCCTTTTTTCCCTTAAGAACTGTCTGTCTGTATCTTCAGACCATTTACCAATTGGGAAATGGCTCTTATACATTTGAATCAGTTCTTTATATATATCTTGGAAGTGAGACCTTTATCAGAGAAATTTGCCGCTATGATGTTTTTCCCAGTTTTTTCTCTGGGATTTGTTTGTGGAAAAACCTTTTAATTTTATGTAATCAAAATTATCCATTTTATCATCTGCAAAATCTTTCTATCCTGAGTTTGGTCATAATCTCTTCTCTTATCCACAGATGTTTGTTCTTTGACCAAAATCTACCACTGCTATCCCTATACCTAAAAGAAATCAAGAAAAATGAAAAAGTCCTATATGCACAAACATATTTGTAACAATTCTTTTTGTGGTGGCAAAAAAAACCCTGGAAACTAAGGAGATGCCCATCAATTGAGGAATGGCTGAATAAGCTGTGGTGTATTACTGTGATGGAATTCTACTGTACTGTAAAAAACGAGGAAATAGAAGATTTCAAAAACATGTAAAGCCTTATATGAACTGATACAGTCAAGCATGCAAAACCAGAACAATTTATACTATAATACCAATTTTATAAAAATGAACAATTCTGAAGATTTACAAAGTGATGAAGAATGAAATGAGCAGAAGTAGAAGAATTAATTCAATAACAAGATTGTAAAAACAAACCACTCTCAAAGTTGTAAGAACTATGCTCAATACCATGACCGTTCACAATTCCAGAAGACTAACAATAAAACATGTTATCCACGACAGAGAGGTGATAGAAACAGAGTAAAAAATGAGACATAAATATTTTTGATACAGCCGAGGGAATATTTTGCTTCATTATGTACATTTGTTGCATAGAATTTTTTTCCTTTTTTTTTTCCATTGGGGTGGGGTGGGGTGGGTGGAAAAGTAGAACTGTGTGTGTGTGTGTGTGTGTGTGTGTGTGTGTGTGTGTGTACAGACACACACATACATACACACATTTTTTAAAATGTGTGTGTGTGTGTGTGTACAGACACACACATACATACACACATTTTTTAAAATACACAGGTGAAGGGTACTACAGACACAAATTGCTGCATGCAATTTCAGATGAGGTCTCTGTATTGTTAGCTTATTTATTTTACTCTGTTGCAGAAGACCTCATATAGAGTAGAGGTAATCTAAATGTCTAATGTAAAAACAAAATACATCAATAAAACTTTTTTAAAAAGAAAACCAATGTTAAAAGTAACATTAGAATGAAAAAAAAAATTTTTAAACAAACCTTGGTGACAAGTAAGGGTTTTCAGAGCAAACAGAAGAACTTATGTTTTATCCTGCAGAAAAGAGAGTTACTGGAGTTGGGGAGTGACATGGTTAGATCTGTGTTTAATAAAAATCATTCTGGCAGCTGTGTAGAGTTTGAGAGCGGGGAGAGATGAGGTTACTGCAATAATCTCAACAAAAGATGATGAAAGTCTAAACCAGGGGTTATTAACCTTTATTTTGTCATGGATCCTCCTGGAATTCTGGAGAAACCTATAGAGTGTTCCATCATTCTAGTGCAATCTATGGACTCCTCAAAATAATGTTTATAGATCGCACAAAATAAAATACATGGTAATATAAATAATACCTTACACTTCAATAAAGATGTAATTTTTTTCCATACAAGTTCACAGACTCCTTGAAATCAACTACTGACTTTTTGGGGGTCCATGTGTCCCAAGTTAAGAATCCCTGGTATAAATTAAGGTGATGGCTACTTGAGCAAGAGAGGGAAAAGAGTTTATTATGAGATGTTGTAGAGGTTACAAATGGGAAGATTTGGCAATAGATCAGAAAGACATGTTGCATGAGGAAGAGTAAAAAGTTGAGAATAACACTGAGGTTAACTAAACTGGAAGATTAGAAATACAGTATTTTTAGACAAAAATGGTGATGTTCAGTAGAAGTGGGGGTTGTGAGGGAAAGGTAATGAGTTCAGTTTTAGATAGGATGAGTTTTGAGGTATCTCTGTGACATCTAGTTTTAAATGTTCAGTAAACAAATGGTGATGTGCTTCTGGGAGCCAACATGGCAGAGAAAGAACTATGTTGCTCTCACCCTGCCTCACTGACCTCTGAAAGCCCAGAAAATATTGACCCAGGAAAAACCCTCAGACAGCAAGCCCCACTTCAGCATACCAGGGGTAGATCCTGAGACCCAGGTTTGTGGAGCAGGCAAGTGCTAACATCAGGAACTCACCCCATCCTCCCCAGCCCCCACCCTCCTGCCCAGAAAGCCTCAATACAGGCAGGACAACCAATAAACACAGCTCAGAAAACCACCACAAACAACAGCTTTATCCAGCAGCAAAATTACTCAGTGCCTCAACACAACTCTGGGAAGCACAATTCCCTGAGGCAAAGCTCCAGGCTCACAGACACCCACCAGCAGTGAAACATCCCTGTACGAGGCCCAAGTGAGCAAGAGCCAAACATTCAAGTACAAGGCTCAGTGAGGAGGACAAGAAGCTCAGGTAAGTGTCCCGATTCACTCCAGTAGGAGAACTCAACAATTTTTTTTTTAAGGCAGGAAACAGGCAAACATCAGGAGGAAAAAGCAGAAACAGAAAATGACCACAGATTCTTATTTTGGAGAAAGGGGAGATCAAGGCACAAATTCAGGGGGCAGCTAGGTGGCGCAGTGGATAGAGCACTGGCTCTGGATTCAGGAGGACCTGAGTTCAAATACGGCCTCAGACACCTAACACTTACTAGTTGTGTGACCCTGGGCAAGTCACTTAACCCCACTGCCTAGCCAAAAAAAAAAAAAGGCACTAATTCAGAAGAGGACAACATTGTCAATATACCCACATCCAAAACCTCAAAGGGGGAAGATGAACCGGTCTCAAGCCCAAAAGGCCCTCTTGGAAGAGCTCAAGAAGTTATTTTAAAAGTCAAATAAGAGAGGTAGAAGAAAAACTGGGAAAAGAAATGAGAGGTATGCGAAAGAGTCAATAGCTTGGAAAAAGAAGGACAAAAAATTAACTGGAGAAAACAAATCCTTAAAAAGTAGAATTGGCCAAATGGAAAAGAAGGCACAAAAACTCACTGAAGAGAAGAATTCTTTAAAAAGTAAAATGGACCAAATGGAAAAGAAGGAACAAAAACTAATAAAAGAAAACAATTCCTTAAAAATTAGAATGGGGCAAGTAGAAGCACTCTGAGAACAAGAATCTGTCAAACAGAAACCCAAAAAAATGAAAAAAGAAATAGAAGAAAATGTAAAATACATCACTGGTAAAACAACTGACCTGGAAAACAGATCCAGGACAGACAATTTTAAAATTATTGGTCTACCTGAAAACAATGATGAAAAAAAGAGCCTGGACAACATCCTTCAGGAAATCATGAAAGAAAACTGCCCTGAGATCCTAGAACCAAAGGGTAAATTAGTCATTAAAAGAATCCAATCACCTCCTGAAAGAGATTCCAAACTGAAAATGCCAAGGAACATTGTAGCCAAAATCCAAAATGACCAGATCAAAGAGAAAATACTACAAGCAGCCAGAAAGAAACAACTTAAATATCATGGAACCACAGTCAGGATTACGCAGCACCTTGCAGCTTCTACCTTAAAAGATCATGGGGCTTAGAATACAAGATTCTGTAATACAAAGGAGATTGGCTTAGAACCAAGTATCAACTACTCAGTGAAACCAAACATAATCTTTCAGGGGAGGAGATAGACAGTCAATGAAATAGGGGACTTCCAAACTTTCCTGATGAAAAGACCACAGCTCAACAGAAAATTTGACCCTTAAATACAAGACCCAAGAGAGGCATAAAAAGGTAAACAGGAAAGAAAAAAAAAAACAAAACAACGTATTATTAATGAGGGCAAACTGTGTACATCTCTACAATGGAAGATGACACTTGTAACTCTTGAATACTGTAATGTTATGACATTTTAAAGGGGGTAACTTACACAGAGGGCATGGGTATAAGGTGACTTTGATGCGATGGTTAAAAAAACCTAATTAAGTGGTGAAAAGGGATTGTATTGGGAGAAGAGAAAAGGATAAATTACATCACATGAAGAGGTACAAAGATCTATTACAATAAAAGGAAAGAAGGGAGGGAGACCAGCATTGTTTGAACCTTACTCTCATCAGATTTGGTTCAAAGAGGGAATAACAATCAGTTGGGTACAGAAATCTAATTTACCACTATAGGAAGTGAGAGGGGAAA